TCAGGGGATACCTCAGGGGATACCTCAGGGGATACCTCAGGGGATACCTCAGGGGATACCTCAGGCCCTGACACATAATACACAGGGGATACCTCAGGGGATAACTCAGGCCCTGAAACATAATACGCAGGGGATACCTCAGGCCCTGACACATAATATACAGGGGATACCTCAGGCCCTGAAACATAATACACAGGGGATACCTCAGGGGATACCTCAGGGGATACCTCAGGGGATACCTCAGGGGATACCTCAGGCCCTGACACATAATACACAGGGGATACCTCAGGCCCTGACACATAATACACAGGGGATACCTCAGGGGATAACTCAGGCCCTGAAACATAATACGCAGGGGATACCTCAGGCCCTGACACATAATATACAGGGGATACCTCAGGCCCTCACACATAATACACAGGGGATACCTCAGGGGATACCTCAGGCTCTGAAACATAATATGCAGGGGATACCTCAGGGGATACCTCAGGCCCTGAAACATAATACGCAGGGGATACCTCAGGGGATACCTCAGGCCCTGACAACTAACAGATTAATAAAAGCTGCTTACACAGAATTTACCATCCTGCTTTCGCATATGTGGTAAAGGTACAAGGTGTTTCTCAATACCAAGAACACAAAGATTATACTTGAGGTACAATGAATCGTGGAACTGATCTCATTTGACGATGATGCAACTGATGCATCCTTGATATTTGGGGCAGGGCAAGAATGACATCCAGGGATTTTTACCATCCTCCGTATGTCTGTTCTTAGTATTGGAGCTGGTCTACAGCAATGGAAGATGATATAAAACAGGCACATGAGAACACAATTACGGACATGTATGCATACTGAGAAACACCCCCAGATTGACCTACTTCCTTGTCAAAATGTATGCTGAAGGACTAACTATTTTGATTTGTAACAAAAACAGAATATGGCGCAGGGGTCGATAGAGTGTTTTCATGTATTTGAGCATTCTGCCAGAGACTCTGAAAAGAAGGAAGGAAGAAAAGAAAGAAAAGAAGAAAGAAAGAAGAGAAAAGAAAAGAAAATACTTCAAAGTGATGGAAGCACCTTCTAAATACATAGATGTCCGTGATCGCTACCTTGGTCCAGTGCAGGGAGCTCCTCTGAAATGTCCGCCTCCTGGGAGGTGGAGGTAGAGCTGGCAGTGGCCAGCTGCCCCTCAGAGACATGCGATTCTTCCTCATCATCCTCCTCTTCAGCTCCCCTGTGTGGCTCGGTGTCCTCAAGGTCAACCAGAAGCAGGAACTTATAAGTACAGATTTTTACAACTGCATTACTATGATGGTAGTAAATAGAAAAAAAAACAATTCTGAGGAAGGCAGAAAAGATAAAATGCATGCATAACGTAACCTACATCAAGAGGAACTACAATGACGCCATTAGAATGGGTGTAAATAGGAAAACACTGCTGTTGTGCAGTTAGGTTGATGCTTAAATCTGAACTTCTAGATAAAAAAAAAAAACGGGCACTACTCACTGGTTAGAGAATTACAGGTCAAGAGCCGCGTGATTATAATTACACGCCTTTCATCTTTTGTCCCTCAGAATTGCTGATGAAATCAGAAACATATCAAAGTCTTGAACGTTAAAGCACCTTGTGCAGCGGGTTGACGCCCAGGGTCTCATGTGCAGATGTACCCTCCGCAGAAGCGGGTGGACTCTGCTCTGGCACCTTTTTCACGGGAACAAACAGAAGAGCAGATTTCCATTTCCCGTTCCTTGAGGACGTAATTCTGCCATTTAAATTTTATTTTATTTTTTTACCACGGGTGGTCATGTTGACATTCTTCACTTCTGAAGCACTTCTGAGACGAACAAACAACTTAATCCCTCGCTTGCGTCAGTCTGTGCGTCCAAACCACGAGAAGCTCGCCGTGGGTACAGCGCCAACTGCTGCCCAGGGCAAAGCCTCTCATGACGAATAAGCCGAGAAGTGTCGACAATATGCAGAATGGAGGGCTTCGGTTTTTAAGAGCAATGATATTAAAGCTGAAGCAGCTGTTAATGTAACCGAATAATGGCACTGCATTTTTGTGGGGTTCAAGATAATAAAAGCAAAACTAACAACATAACTTCACAAAAGGTTTTAATAGCGCGGAAAGATCTTTTTGGTCTGTTAACTCTATTACTGAAGTGTCACTCTACAGAAAAACAATACGAGTCCTTTTTGAGGCTCAGTGGTCTTACTATGCTCTCAGCAGGCGTGTCATCCATGAAGGACACTTTCTTCCCGCTCAGCTTCTCCTTCAACAAAGTTCGCTGTCTCGGTTGAGGGGCCACTGCCTGTGGGAGTACAGGTGAAAAACAACAGGGTCCATTCCCAGGTCAAATCAGCGTGGAGCTTGTTCTTTCAAGCCATACACCAGCATTGACCTTCTAAACTCGTGTTGCAGTTTGTGTAACAAACAAAATAGACATAGAGTATAGTTACTCATTTTTTTTAAATAATCTTCAATCACATATTCCACAATCAAGCTCTTCCATCCAAAAAGGCTGGAAAAAAATCAGTTCAGATGTTGAGTGCTACTTGTGCAGCAGTTAAATCGATTAAAGTCATGCATCTCTCCAAAAACTGCTCCAATACCATTTACACCTTTATCTGGGCATTTACTGGAAGCTCAGCCTAGCTGTACTTATGCCTAGTTGACTCCTTGGCAGATGTATGTTTGTAATGTGGTTCATTTGTATATCGCTTTGAACAAAAATGTCTGCTAAATGTAAATAAATTTTAAGATGCATGTGTTTTTAACTCTGCCCCTGTTCTTCCTCCTCAATCGCTCCTTTCACATCAGCAGGGGCAGAGGACTGTATGTCCTTGGCCCACGGTGAAAAGCCGGGAGTCCGGTGAGGGTGTGTGAACTGACAGGGCCCCTTACCTCCGGGCCAGATGGAGTCGGGGGACGGGGCGCACCGCTCCTCTCCTGCACGGCGACCAATTTCTCCGGAGTCTCTTTGGCGAAGAACGCGGGTACGGAGACACCGGGGGGAGGGCAGTACGGGCGTCTCCACTCCAGGGTCACGTCGATGGTTCCGCTGGGCTGGCCGCTGGGAGCTGTCAGCTCGAATGTGCCTGCAGACGGGGCGGCAGGAGGAGATGTTGGCAGCTGCAGGCTGCAGCACAGCGAGCCGGTACTGACCTGAGGAGGGTCACCTCAGAAATCCAGCCACCAAAACCGGAGAGTCAGCAGCAATTAGAAGGGATCATAGCAGCAGGACGACAAATGTCTCAGTGACCAATCTCTCCAGAAATGGGGAGTTTATATCAATGAATATATCTAAGCCCAGACAAAAACGCACCTATATTGATTTGCCTGTAGCTAGATGTGCTGAGTGGAGGATGGGCTCTGACCTCACAACTTTCTGTTGGCAATCACTTAGTGCTGTCACCTTACTATTGTACGTGATTATGGGGTTGGGTGATATGCCCTAAAAATTATACAACAATATTTGCGCAGTATCAATATTTAGCATGATCTTATAACATTCATACATAGAAAACAGCAAAAAAAATGACAGGTGGTTTTGAGGTTTTTGATTATGATGAACAAATTGTTTTACTAACAGTTAGGGAGCATGTGACAGGTATAATGATATGTATATAATTACGACATCAAGTCTCATACATTGATGCAATTTGTTTAAAAACAGTGCATCATAAAAGCTAATTATGCAAGAAAAGTTGTTTCGGGTTCACGGTGATACAATATTCAAACTGTTTATAACCAAGATATGATATTGTATCAATATACACCTCCAGTCAAATGTTTCTGCACACCACAGGTTTTTACCACTTTTCCATTTATTTCATAAACCGCAGACTTTTTTTTCCAGTTAAGCATTGGAAAGTTGAGTGAACAACTAAATGAAATGAAGATGTAAGTCAAATAAAACAAGTTTCCTTTATAACATGGAAAGAGTATGTAACAGTGCATGTCTGATATCCTATTAACTGGCTGTGTGGTGATGGCAGAGTCAAATTCTAGGCTGTCTTTTAACTTTAAATGCACTAGTTGACCGTTTCATCCCATGAAACAGCGCAGTGTTTAATGTCCCTAGTAGAAAGAATGCCTCAAATTTTCTCTGCTGTTATGACTGCTAGAGGAGGTTACTTTGATGAATCACAGATATGACATTTTCTTTCTAATAAAGGTACTGAAATGGTGAACATACTGTAAATTTATTGGTTAGCAAAGAATAAGGAGGGTATATAGTAAATGCTAAGTGAGTAACATGCAAATGTGGAAAATCTCAGTGTGTGCAAAAACTTTTGATTGGCAGTGTAACGCCCAGCCCTACGTGATCATCCCTAACGGTTGATTGATTCCATAACTTGATCTTGACCATCTGAGGTTTTCATTATGACTGACTACATCCACTGCCTCAAGTTTTGATACACCACTGTAATTAAATTCAGTAGGGTCTAGTCAATGGATCCATCAATCCGCTCTCTGGTTCCTAACAGTCACAGTCTACATTCCTTTCAGCTAAAGTGATATTTATTTTGGTGTTGGCGAGATTGTCCACAAAAGACATTAACCTGTGATGCTTTTATTATGGGCCAAAGATATGAGAGGTACTTTGGCCTTTCCAAGGTAAAGATGGCTCTCCGGCTCCAGGTCATCGAGCACATAAACCTGCAGGTCTTCGGTCCGTAGATAGCGGTCCAGACCTCCATCCATGGGCAGGGGAAAGATCATATGGTCGTCAAACTGGGGGTGGCTGCTGGCCGGCAGGATGTGGGTGTCATGGTCTGGGAAGTCGAAAAGCTTGTAGACCACGTAGGGGCTGGGCTGGGTGGTGGGTTGCCGGGCTTTCAAGTTGCTGCAGCGGTGCACCGTGATACGGAGGTCGTTAGGATTGCTATCCTCAGGCGCCATGGAGGGAACTTTCCCTTTTGCTAAGGCCTGGGGATAAGAGCCAGGGAAAGGGAACAGTATGTGAGAAGCCCGGATCTAACCACCAGCCGGAAATGCTGACAGCTCACCGCTAGCCGCTAGTTCGGAAACTGCATGACTCAACGCCACACCTGCTGGGACTGCTGCTCCCCCCGGTGGCCAGAGGTGAGGTAGCCCAGGGCCTTCAAACGCTCCTGGTACAAGCGAGCAGCCTGCTCCATTGGAAGCCTGAGTTGAAGCCAGTACTCCAGCGTGCCAAAGGACTGGACCTCTCCCCCCACTCCTGGTAACAAATATCAAAGCAGACAACCTTCAGTGCTACTGCTCTCCACAGGTACCCTAACTGGCACAGTCACCAGGCATTACCACATCTGCTCACTGTTCATAAGCAGTAACATCTACCGCTTGAATATTGACACCCAAGCATTGCTTCTTCCTTGTTACTTGCTACTTTGTTTATGTCAAACCAACCTCCAGCTGCTGGGTTTATACATTTTCCTCCTTGTTTGTTTTCTTCTCTGATCATGGAAAGCCGGTCAAATGAGTCGAGCGAACACCAAAGCAGTGTTGCCATGTCCCACTGCCAAACCAAACCGCTGAGACTTAAGGCGCAGTGAGGTTTCCCTTGTAAAACACATACTGGCTGGCAACTCGGGTATTTCAAGACTCAAACCTTACGAGCTGAATGTTCTCACAGGGAAAGGCCGCAGTTACAGCTGTGGCTGGTGTTCGCAGGCTAACGGTCCCTACACACAGCACACTGGCTGAAGGAGTTAAACACGCCATTAGGCAGGAAGGGGCAGGGAGCTCAGCTTAGATACTTCACTGCTGCAAAGGCAAAAAGCTAGCAGCATGTATAGTCATTATTATATACACATGCAGTAATAAAATTATAATAATAAGCAGTCAAATAATATATTATTTAATTTCATTATTATTAGTATTATTATTATTATTATTATTATTATTATAATAAGGTATGACAGAAAATCATGCACTTTTTTTTTTAAGTTACATATGTATTTCCGTGTTTAAGCACACTGGGCTTGGTAATGATGTAACTAATTAAAATCAACTTTACCCGGTTTCCTGTATATGAAATGATGAGCAATACAAGTGAAAGTACAGGAGACCCCTCTGTCAAGGCCCAGACATTGGTGATATCACATGAAAATCAAAAGCACACTTTCATCGACTTGTCTGTTCAAAGCCATTATTTACATTTTTCGTTTTCTGGAAAGCCATACAAAAATTGCCTAACAAACAGATCAGGTCAGATCAACTTGCAGCGGTGAACCTCAGCACGGTGTGTAATGCGATCTCTCCATCGCCACTTCACAGAACGGCGTGGGCGATGGGTGGAGAGACGCACAGGAAACATGTCGCCGGCGTCCCACACTCACCGGTCAGGGGCGCGGTGCCGAAGACCCTGCCCTCGCGCTCCAGGATCTGGTGCAGCCGAAGCTGACAGGCGGCCACCGTGCTGAAGTCTGTGCCGCTGGCCAGCTGCAGCTCCAGTGTGACGGCGCCAGTCTGGAGGTAGCGCAGGAACGCATCGTCCATGCACACCGTGTAGCGGGACGTGAAGTTGAAAGCCGGCTGCGGGCCCTGTGCCACCGCGGTCGCCTGCAGCTCGAAGTCGTAGAAAGCGTATGTGCAGAAGGTGGACGGATCCGGGTCGGCCAGAGCCTCCAGAGCCCCCACTGACAGCTGTACCCTGCTGATGTGGATCTCAAGCAGGTTCTCCCCTCGCTCCAGGTGCAGGGTCTCCTCAAGTTCTGCCTCTGCATCCTGCCCTGCGATCTCAGCCCTGAACGTGTGTGCTTTGGTGCCGTAGGCGATGTCCTTCAGCTGAGCTGGAGAAACATTGGCAATCAAATCCAGGAAAACAGACTGATTCAGAGAAACTGATTTTCACACTTAGTTTTGTACTATTATTTTGACATGATGGATTACTGGCTGACACGTGTCCGTCTGTGATAAGCATGAAGATCGATAAACGTGAAATGTAAATTCTGTGAACAAACAAATGAGCGAGCATGCAATTTACTGAACACGGCTGGACAACCTGACTATGGCAGAGCTTACACAGGCTGTATACTGGAGTTGGTAATAGTAGCAGGCGACAGAGATCAAACTGAAGCAATATGGAAGAATTAAGAAACACCCCAAATCACAGAATGATCCAACTTACATGTTTATCTTTAGTGAATTTGGAAGACTACTGCAAAAACAATACACTGGACATAGACACACATAGAAACAGAAACATTTCGGTTGTTTTGTGTTAAATTCATGACCACAGCCTGTGTGTTTGGTTCGATTATATCATGCAAACGCAATCAGCCCCAACTCAGCTACAGAAATCTACACTTTGGTTGGAAGATAAATGGATGGATGAAAATAAATATCATCTTTTTCATAACGACTTATGCTACTCAGGGTCGTGTGTAGGGGTTTCTGGAGCCTATCCCAGGCAGCGTGAAGAACAAGCCTGTGGTACATCCTGGATACACACGTCCTCACACACTACAGGCAATTCAGAGACGCTAATGAGCCTAAACCCATGTCTTCAGACTGTGGGAGGACACCGGAATACCGGAAAACCCACACGGCACAGGGAGAACAAATTCCACACACACAGAGTGGAGGTGGGAATCGAACCCACAACCCTGGAAGTGCTTCCCACTGAGCCACCATGCAGCCTTTTTTCCATCAGGAGAGAAAAACGTCAATCAAAGTAGGAATATTTGTTGATCATGCTACATGTGACTAAGGGTCTTAAATTTAAGTGTACATGCACCAGAACAGAATGTGAAACCATCGAATTGTTCCTACATTATTGAGAGGTTTCCTCAATGGTACAGGACTGAGAGGGGAGGGGGGGGCGCAGGGTTGAGCACCACAATAATGATAAACAAATGTGTTTTGCACTGATCAAAGACTGAACCCAAAATAAACAGGGGCCCAATGTTCTGCGAATAAATATGTCTCTGTGCCTTTGATACCTTCCAGCTTCCTGACTCTGGCCGCTCTCATGTCGAGCAGCTGGGCCAGTCGATCGAGTTTCAGCTCGTGTTCCATTTTAATGTCTTCCATCTTGCGGGTCACAATTTCCACCTCTGTCTAAAAGGTAGAAAAAAAAAAAAAATTAATAAAAACACGGTTTGCTGTCCTGGCAGATGGCAGATGGCGTCGGTGCTGTGAGCAGGACCACGGGAGAGACGGTGCCAGGTAACGAACGAGGCGCCTTTTCTGTGACGGCTGATGTAATTCCAAGAGACTGTGACTAACTGATAGCGGCCAACAGTGCAGCTAATACCCATCAGCTCGAATGAAAGGAAAAGGAAAAACCAATGCAGGAAGCATGGCAAAGTAAGCCTGACGAATCCAGGAAACACGTGCAGACCAAAGCTCTGCTTCTGTAACTGTTTTGGTAAGCAATGAGCCGTCAGGTCCTGCTGACATACGCAGGAAAGCTCCCGCAGGAACCCACAGACCAGGGGGCCCCCTGCGCAGCCGGACACTGTCGAGCAGCTTCAGCTAACGGCCTCCTCCCTGCTGGGCCCTAACTGGAAACACGGCGGAGGGCCGATCCGACTTCTCTGCGGCTGGTACTTAGATGGCGCCGGGAGTCACGTAACAGACTGTAGATTTCGCCAGTCTCTCCTGAATTCTGTGCTGTGAACTGCATCAGGCCGTATCCATGAGCAGTCGCTCTGCTTAACATCCCTGCGCGCCTGCTGCCCCCAAATCACCGTGACTGTGGCTGGAAATTTCTTGCTGCGAATCTTTTGCTATCGCTAGGAGACGCACTCGCCGTTCTCCCTGGAATTAAGTCTAGTGCTGCATCTTGCTGTT